GGGGGGGGGGGGGGGGGGGGGGGCAGCTCGCTTGACTCACAAATGAAATGCAAGGAGAATGAAAGAGCCCAAGAGAGAAACGGCCCCCTACACCTTCCCGGGGGGGTTAGAGGAGACTCTAGAGGTGTGACCCGGGTGGTGGGACATTGGTCATGGACTGGGGGCGGGACCCTCTGAGTAAATGAGTGACAAAGCCAAGGAAGTGTTTATGCAGTCAATTACTGGCTACAAGACTACAATCAGTCAGCCAATCAATCAGCCAACCAGCCAATCAGCTGTGACTGAGCACTGGGCTGTTTCCCTCTGCAGGGGGGAAATAAGGGAAACGACGATGAAGACGATAATCAAACATGCTTCCAGGATCCTGTCCGAAAAGCTGGTACCGGGGAAACTGTGAAGGACGTGATTTTCATGTAACCTTCAGAGCGCTCATGAGTGCTTTTAGGTGTTTGTAAGAAGTCTGGGGGTGTCTGGGGGTCACCGGTTGGGAATGACCCCACAGTCCAACGACACAGTCATGACATCGAGAAAATGGGACATCGCACACTGGCACTCACACACCAGGCATAGCTCCGCCCACACATAACTCCGCCCACACATAACTCCGCCCACACATAGCTCTGCCCATATATAGCTCCGCCCACAGCCGCATGCCTTAGTTGACTATGGAAGGCGCTCCCCTGCCTTTCTGCATACAATCAACGATGAAGTTGAGCACTGATGGCTGAGTGGCAGACAAGCTGCATTCTCGGTGCATCCAGCCCTCTCCATGCCCCCCCACCCCCCACGCCCCCCACCCACTGCTTTTTAAGGCGAGCATCCTCTCAGCGTGCAAAGGCACCGGAGTCGAACGATTGCCGTGACAACGCTGTTTATCTCTCTCTACACAGCCTGGGCGCGATCGATCTACCTTGCCTTTTGCCCCCCCCCATACACACACGCAATAAACCAGGCACACGAAAAAAACAGCAATGTCCGGCTGCTGAGTTACGCTTTTAATGTCGTTTTCAGCACATGGAGGTGGGATCACGGCAGGACAGAAACAGAGCTCTGAGGGTGCCTATCCGCAAGCCCCCCCCCCACATCGTCTACAGTTACCAGGGCCTCGTTAGGCATTCAGAGGACTTTCACCAAGAGAGGTAAACTGAGGGTCAATCAATTAAGACAAGGCTTGTGTGGCCCCGATCGAGTCGCCTGTCTCCATCAGAGCGAGGTGTTGTTCTGTGCTGGAATGGGCGGTGGGGGGGGGCAGGGAAGGAGACAG